TTCGTGGTGCCAAAGGATATATTGAAGGACAAAGGGAAGCTTTACCATGAGAAATTGGCGGGGAGCAACTGGCCGGGAACGGTGGAGCTGATGGAGATAGGAGGGGAGGATTATGTCTTCCGTATCTTTGAGCCCAGTTCTGCCAAGGCCAATAATATGGTCAAACGGTTGGCTTCTTTCTTTAATCAAGGAGAGACTCCTGTTCTGTGAATGTGTGGCTACTTTCAACCAATGTTTTGAAAACCGGACTGGTACCCAGTAATGAAAACGGCTCAAGTTAATATTTAAAACCGTTTAGAGATTAAACCGTTCAAAACCATCCAAACTGATAAGAACCAAAAAACCATTTAATCAACCGGGCCAATTACTTAGAGAAAATTTACAAAGTTTGTTGCTGTCGCTGGTTTCCAACACGAGATCTCGTTAGATTTAAATAACTCTTTGACCACGGGAGCCATTGAACCTTTTATGAAATGAGTAACAAAGACTATTATTTAAAGAATATTATGAGACTAAAGGAAATATGAATAAATTTGACACATTTGCGATTCGAACTCTAATTCAATATGACATGGACAAGTGTTCTAACCACTAGAGCTACCTCTTTTCTTTTGCAAAGGATTGCATTATATTATATTTAACATACACTTCCAAAATTCAATCAACTCAATTCTTTATCTGGTTTAACTGGTTCAACCATTAAAACCATGAACCAGAGGTCAAAACAACTTGACCTCCGGTTTGGTTTTGAAAACCTCGCTTTCAACCGTGGAAAGTGATGTCTGTCTTCACATGTAGGTCTACCATGTTCTTCAGATTTTCTTTTTCATTAGTATTGCTTAATGTACTCTTGCAAGGGGTTGTTGTTTTTCCCATGTGATGTATTTCTAACCTTTATTTGTATTTTCTAAATTATAGTCCTTTCTACATGACGAAAAAGATGATCTACAGACCAGTATCTCACTTATATCCGGAAAAATAAATTTAAAGACTACTTGCAACATGTAGTTGGAAATTTCAAAATTTTTTTTTTTTTCAAACAGGTACAAATTTGGAGATGAAGAATTTGAATTTAACACCTAAAGTTGAGGGTGCACATTTCTTAAGGCTCATACTTGATACAATATAATTTAACCATAAAAAACATAGTCACACTCCAAATGTTGATTGGAAATGCTTGAAGGAACCTCTATATTACTAGAATATAGCCTACAATAATGACACCCTAAAGAGTAAACAGATGATAAGAATGAAAGTACCTCATTCAGTAAAAGTAAACACCATAAGTACTAATTTTGACCATAAACAGATTATGCCATACATACAACAAATTTTCTGTGACATGACTTAGTGTAACTAGGAAAAAAAAATTTTCTTATAATATCTTTATTTTTACAGGGTGGAGGCATGTCAGCAATTCAAACACATTTATGTGATATCTACACAATCACTAATATGAAATATCCAGAAGAACTTCACTCACCTGAACAGTCTGTTCATTCGTTTTGGAATGGGTATCAAAGCGACCAAGTGTCAATCCATCTGTCAACTTCTTCTTGTGCAAATTCAATAGCAATTTTTCCTCAAGTTCATTCTTCCTGTAGTTAATTGCTATTGAGTAATAATGTCTGTTCAGCCCATGGATCAATGCCTGACGATGGAAATCAATCACATTAGGAGACACCATTAGCTATGAAAGACAAGAAATAAAGACTCCTAGGCAATATAGTTTTTAGCACTCACTTGAATGGAAGGCTTATTAAGATGCCCAACGTTAGATGTTGTTTGCCATGGTTCTTGGCCAAGCATCATGGTTTGTGGGTTGATCAATCGGAATGCATCAATCACCACCTTCCCTTTAACACTGTGAATTGG